ATTTTGTTTTAATTACGTGTTTTTATCAAATTTTTGAAAGATTATCTTTGTTTACTTTATCCTAGTAAAAATCGTATCAAGATACTTGTATAACCACTTTGCCGAGAAAAACCGGCTGACGAGTATTTATTGATTTATAGCTTTGATTACTTGTTTACAAATGAACTTTCATCATCAATGAGTATGATGTGACTCATTTGATTCGTTTCTCATATATAAAAGCCCTAAGCATTTACCTCTCTCTCTCCCTCTCCTCCCCTCTCGCGCTCTCTATCAACATCATCATCATCATTATCCATGCCTCCGACCACTGATAATAATGCCCTGCTCGATGTCTGCTGTCAACTCTAATCATTCTGAAAATCTAACCCCTTTACATTACTTCACCTGACCTTAACCCATTTACTCACCAATTCCTTTGCCTAGCTTAGACAACTAATCACTAACTCCTCCACCTTTCACTAACATTTACTATAGTGCTACATGACCCTAGATGTCTAGCACATTTATTTTGCTTTTAACCATTAACCTTTATCCATTCTGAACCCCTTACCCTGACAAAACCCTTCTCTTCCAACATTGCCTCGAAAAACAAGTAGGCAATGTTTCCTTTTGCATTTGTTACAAGTACCAAGCTCATATATCATCTACCCTAACTGACCACTGACAAACCTATTCCTGCCCAACCTCACTTACCCTTGAACCGTTTCCATCTCCCCGACTGATTGTTCTGTCTATGACAGGGAATGGTCAGACTGAAAACAACCTCTGAAAACAACCTCTGCCTGCATTGTTGATTGTGATGCAGAGGCCAGTGTAAGTCCTATACCAGTATTGCCAAGGTTACTTTCCCCAGACATGACCTCCCCCATGAAGTTTATATTGGTGGTGTCCTACCCTGACCAACCATATCAACCCCTTTACCGTCAATGTCAAATATTGGCATTTTGGTCTGGCCACCCAGTCAATCACTGTTGCTCCACAACCCACTGCCCTCTGTGTGCCCAAACTGGTAATAATTGCTCAAAATGCTTGTTTCGGTCATGCACGTACCAATTGTGGTGGCTCCCATTATGTATTTTATACATAATGGGAGAATAACAAAGCACACAACAAGGTTTTTCTCTCTGCCTATTCCACAACTCTCCTTCACTCCACTTCCCTCTCAATTTCCCAAGTTGTCTCAGCAACTCTCCTATTGTCTTTCCTCTGCCACGAACCATCCGAATTTTATTCCACCTGTCCCACACTCAAATTCCTTTCTAGTCTAAATCCAGGTACTCCAATCTCTACCACTTGCCCCTCCTCCTTTACCTGTTACAATCTAACATTCCACCCCATCTCTTACTACATCCTCCCCTACACACACACCCCAATCCCTTGACCGTTGTTGGCGTGGGGGGACTCGGCTCTCGACTCAACTAATTTTGCATGGTCTTTTTTCCCTTCCTACTTTTTCTTTTCTGTCCCTTCACCAATCCCTTCTACTATCCACCGTGCTGAAAGGATGAAAGGTTGACTTTGTGCCAGTCCTGAACGGCCTGAGGGAGCCATGGGCATGGTATTCCCCTGATTTAGTTACCTAGCCCTTACCCTTCAAGGGGACCCTGAGGAGTTTTTCTCCCCAACATGCTCCAGGCTACCATGGCCAATAATGAAGACGTAATTCCACTATTAAGGGCAATGAGGCTTGCCCCTTCACCAAATAGCCCCAACAATTCAAACCCTCCCAATTCCCTGACCCCAGCCTCTCCTTTGACCACGGCTCCAAACAGTGCAATAACTACCCCTTCCTCAATGCCTACTAGTACAGTAGTCAATACTCAACCCCCAAGAGACATTTTTACTCTCCCAACATGCTCAACTTCAACACCTCTACCCCCACAACCTTCTACATCAACTACCCCATCCTCCCTTATGAATACCTTACAGCCTTATTGCCCACCTCTCTCTAACACCACCTGCCTCTTCGACACGCCCCTGCCCTTATACTACCCCTATCTCTACAACAATCTTAAATACTTTATTTAGCCCAGCCAAATGGGACCGATTTTTCGTGATCCCTCCCACAGCTCCCTACTCTGACAACACCCTTCTCTTCCAGCAATGTCTCCAAAAACAAGTAGGCAAAGTCTCTTTCCGTAGCCAAATCGACCGCTCCCATCTCGTCACAGTAACATCCGAAAACCAAGCTATAGCATTACCAAAACTAACTGATCTATATGGTAACCCCATCCTTGCAGAACCCCATCCAACCCTTAATACTTGCACTGGAACGGTTTCTATTTCCCCAGCAGATTGCCCAATCTATGATAAAGATTGGTCAGATTGTGGAGAAGACTAACTCCCCTATCTCAGACTATGATGCGACATCAGTACACTGCTACTCCATTCCTCCCAGAGGTCATCATAAGAAACCCACTAACATCGTCAAAATTACTTTCCATGGACATGACCTTCCCTTTAATGTTTACATAGGAGGAGAATCCCTCCCTGTTCGTCCATACCAACCTCCTCCACGTCAGTGCCAAAATTGTTGGCGTCTAGGACACCCAGCCAAACATTGCCGTTCCACAGCCAGATGCCCACTATGTGCCCAACCTGGCCATACCTGATCTAACTGCTCTGCACAATCACGCACATGTGCCAACTGTGGCGGCCCCCGTAATGTATTTTATAGGGGCTGTCCCACCTACAAATTTGAATCTGAGGTAGCAACTCTCAGGTTCAAACTTGGACTCACACTACGTGAAGCCAGACAGGAAGCACGTCGACGTGGATTCTCTCTTACTCCTTACTCCAGTAATACTGCTCATTCTAACACTTCTCCTAAACCCACCCCTCCTACATCTAACTCCCCCACTTCTACCTCCTACCTTCCTCAGTCAAACTCTTTTGCCATCCTAAATCCAGACACTCCAATCACCACTACAACCCCAACACCTTCCCCTCTCCCTCCTCGCACTACCCGTAACAGACAGAACAAACGTTCCACCCCCTCTTCCACTACCACACAATCAGCCCCACCATCCTTTGCCCCTACTCTTGAGACACCAGTCCTCTCTTCCCCCCCCCTCACAAGAAATCCTTTATCCCCCAAAACTCCCCCAACCAACTCCACAGAAGAAACTATTGAAAATATTCAAGATTACTTAATGAAAACTGACACTCAACCTACAACTCCTGCTCCTTCCACACTCCAAGTAATTGCTGATATCCATCATCCTCCTAATGATATCCCCCCTACACCTTATCCTCCGATCCCCTCCCAACACAGCCCATCCCCCCCTGACCCCAACCCTGCCCACATTAACCCTCCCACCATTCCCTCTATCCCTTCCACTCCCTCCTGGATACACACGTGAATCCCTTATGTCGCAAGTATCCCCTTCCTCAGACCCTCCATCTCCTAATACCCCTCCTGATAGAACACCTGTGAACAATACGTAGCAAGACCGGATGGCAGATTCACACCTCGGTCCAAGCAAATGCCTTTCTCCTTGCGCAGGATGCAGGTGCTGCCCTCCTTTCTCTTTTCACACAGGAATAAACATCCGCCCTCCAAGGAAACCACCGTATAAAAGGGCACGTGCCTAAGACACAGGGAGACAGAAGGAGACACGGCAGACAGGCCAAGCGACACAGGGTCCAGCTCCACCACCTCATCCTCCACCCGGGGACACGGGGGTCTCTTGGGGGTCTTATATCTATCTTCAGAAATAAACCAGCAAGTTAAGACCCCTTTCATTGACCGCCCAAGACTATCTCTGTTATGCTTACATCTGATGGCAGCGGTGGTCACTTACGCTTACATCTGATGGCAGCGGTGGTCACTTATGCTTACATCTGATGGCAGCGGTGGTCACTTACGCTTACATCTGATGGCAGCGTGATCAAGAACCTCACAACGCCTTACGCTCACAACACCAACTCCCACACCTCTCCCATCTCAAACCTCTCGATCCTTATCCCACCCTCTAGCTGCTTCCCCTTCAAATTCTCCAACACGTACTACAATCTATATCACTAAATCAACGAAAGTATAACTATCCTTCATTGGAATATTCGCGGTTTCCGCTCCCACAGACCTGACCTTCGTCATATCCTTTCCTCTTATAACCCATCTATTGTATGCCTTCAAGAAACCTTTCTTACACATCCTCCAATACCAATCCCCAATTATCATTTTGTCTCTTCCCCACATTCCCTTTGTCTCGTCCATACTTTAATCTAACACCCGACCTTTAACCCTTTCACTCACCAATTCCTTTGCCCAGCTTAGACAACAAACTAACTAACTCAACCACCATTCACTAACATTAACTATAGTGCTACATGACCTTAGATGTCTAGCACATTTATCTTGCTTTTAACCATTAACCATTAACCCTCATAAGAAAACCTTGGTTGCTCAGTTACTCTCGAAGACATTCAAATCTATTTAGTCCTGACCTATGATAACATGCCTACACCTCAACCATCCTCCCGTCTCTCTACTCTCATTCCTTCAGAGTAACTGCCGACATCCCTCCATCCTACTCATGTTCCCCCTACTCTCCTTCCCCCCATTCTCTCCCAACTCATCCCATTCCCTCTTGCCTCATCTGCATCATTCCCCTTTCCTGCCCCATTATCCCTTCCGCTTCTTCCAGGACACATGCGACTATTTGCCACAACAATCCCTTTCCCTGGAGTTTCTCCCTCTTGACAAATATCCTGACGCTCTGATCTGATCGTCTTTAAACCTCCTTTCTCCTTTTGCTAATCCCTACCTTACACTCTGGGCATCCTTGCAGAATCCCACACTTCTTCCTTTGACAACTGACCTAATCACCCTCGCTAGTCCCTACCTGCCCATTTATTCACCTTCACCCCTCTTTGCCCCTTTCACTATCATACTATCTTGAACTACCATTGAAGTCGTGTGTAACACGTTCTTTGATTAATCATCTGCTAACCTCGCTCTTTACCCTTTT